TGGTAGTCCAAGATATTAGAGTAATAATAAATCGATTTAAAAATCAACATATTTATAAGCTTCATTCCATTCTGAAAAAGAAAACATATTTTCATTTGTCTAAAGAGGGTTCTATACCATTTTTTTTTATTATAATCTTTTGTATATGTTATTCGTATATCAATGCAAGAAGATGTCTTGTTTGATATATATATTCAATTATTTGCAAAAAAACTTGCACACTTTGCTTCATAAGTATTTCTTTCTATATACGTTAATTTGAATTGTTTCATCTCTGAAATGATAGACCACAGAGAGTACTATATTGTGCCATAATTTATAATTTCATTAGTTAACTTTTGGAAGAAAAAATAAAAAAACATTAGTTGTTAATAGACAACGGATAATTTATTACAACATCAATATAAATATTTGAAAACTCTTTTACTAAAAATCATTCAAACTCTTTGATATTTTTTTGATTTTCTACTTTCAACTTTATGTTGTACACTTAGCTAAATATTTTCTGTCTAATTTAGATTCAGATTGTTAAGCTGATCGGTCCATTATTTTGAGGTTGTGATCAGATTATAAATGTTAGTTTTCGCGAAATTTCATTAAAAAAAAAGATAGCTGAAGAATATCACGCCTCTATGGATTACTTGTATATTTTCATTTATTTGTTTAAGGGTACCCCCCCCCTCTTTTTTGACCCAAAACTCGATTTTGAGCTGAGCCCAAGATATGATAGCCTTAGGTGCCATGTACAGCTAGAGACATTATTCGACTCGAAATGTCTTACTTTTACCTATTTATTAGATCGAGAAAATTTTTTTTTTCACAGTAATCGTATGTAAATTTATTTCTTTTATTTAGCGTTCTGTAAAACAGCGATTTTCTAGATCTTGACACATTACGACCCCCTTTTTAGTTTGTCCGATCGAGCTGAAAATTTCACGACTAATACTTCGAAGTATTCTCCAGAGGTAAAATCAAGCGTTTTCATTTTTGACGTTCCTGCTCGGAGTTACCGGGTCGTGAAAGTCAAGGTCTGAAGCACAAACTCGAAACTGGGCGTATTTTTCTTATAAAAAAAAAAGAAAGTGAGATTTTTGGAAATCCTTAAATTTACCTCTGGGGAATAGTGTTAGGCATCTATAAACAAAATTTCAGCCCAATCGGACAAACTTTAAGGGGGGTCGTAATGTGTCAAGATGCGAACCTCTGGAAAACCAGAGTTTTTCGGAAAATCCCATAAAAAGTTATTTAAAATTTTTTTTCCTCGAACACATATCTCTTTATTTTTAGTGCTCTATCTGTGCTAAAAATTTCAGCTTGATCGGTTGTACCATCTTCGAGAACCAGCAAGTGTCAAAAAAGAGGGGAGGGGTACCCTTAAGTAATATCTGATTATTACGATGAATACCTTAATCAACAACGCTTGTTTTTATACCGAGGACGCATTATCAACCAATTCTCTTTCGTTATTAAAATAAATGTATTGATTTTAATTTGTCGATGTTATGAATATAGATTTCCCATGAGAGGCTTTATTTCACGCTTCTCAATGCTAACTGATCTCATGGCTTTGCTTCAATAGTGCGACATGAATAGATAACAATTAATTTGAAGAGTAGAGCATAATATATCTTAATTTTTATATATCCACATAAAAAATAACCGCATTTTCATTAGGTCATTTCTTTGTCCAGCTGACAATAAACGATCACCGAAAAAATGATACATAAAATCGTTTCATAAAAGATGAAAACACTAAAAAAAATTCCTATATCTATGCAATTTTTTTTTTCAAACAGCTGTATATACTGCTTTTATATGAGATCTTTTTTTTCTTTCTTCTTGCCTTCAATTAGAATGTGACGAACGATCAATGTAGGGTATTCGATTTTAGAATTAGAACTTCTTTAGTAGGCTAAATATGTGGTAAATCGATTAGAGTGACAATTTTGTCAGCAAGTAATTGTTGTATGAAATCATAACGCTTTTTAAAGCTCTTCATATGCATTATTATTATATTCTATTCTTGTTTATCACTTTTTCCGTATAGTTCAATATTTCAAATGGATTTTCTTCTTCCAGCTAACGCACTTTCTTTTCGTGGAGATTATTTTTAGTGCATCATTAGAGAATTTTGTAGTATGGAGGAGTTCGAATTACTTAAATTTCAACTGATCAATTCTTCAATGGATCTGGCTGAGAATCGACGATGTCTTCTTTACTCTTCAAATGGAATGAGACTGATCAGCATCGCTCAAAAAAGTTTCGCACGTTTCGAGCAAAAATAAACTTAGCAACTATTCATTTTTTGTCATGCTGAGTATTCACTTCGTTCTCTTCTTCCATCTATTGATTCTTCATCTTCATCAACTGTCAAGCCTTTAACGATTTCATCTGAACTTCTTCAACGATATCCACTCTCGATCGATTTTATCTACTGTCTGGAATCGAACTTATTGACTAATTTTTCACTAGATTTCATTTCGAATATACTATATAACATGGCATGTTCTAAAAATTCCTTTCGCTGCTTCCTTCTATATCTTAAAAGGACTTAACATTTATGAATAGATCTGCGACAGCTTCCAATTCTATGAATCGATTTGTTTTTTTAGAATCGAGCTCTGCAATGCTAGTATTAAGTTTCCGTTAGCTTCATTTCAGCACATTTGTGTAGTTCAAAAACATAGTTCAGAATGAAGCAATAACAAATTTAATTGGTAGGTTTAAATGAGATGTCTGATGGCACCAGTTCATTCAAAAAGGACTATTATATAAATCAGTTTCTATCAAACGAACTTTTGGAACAGCTCTCAAGATGAGAACTGATATGAAACCGTTATAGGTCTAGTGTCCTGCATGGGTACGACTTTTTTCAACCGAACCTGGACAAGTACGGATTTTCTCGAGTACGAGTACATAGGAGTAAGTTTCCTAATATCTTATTAGAGAAAATTTAATTAGTAGCTTTATAAATAACGTATCAATTTTGAGATCCAAATATTGTAACAGTAATGAATTAAAATGTTGTTATTATTATTTTTTTATTATCGAGTTTCAAGTAATCAAACTACACCAAAATCTTATTACATTTAAGAAAAGTAACCAAACATACATTTTTTTAATGGTTAACAATGCGCAATGTAGATACATTACAAAGCTACTTTGAGAAAATATCCTTTCAACAAGAGCTGATGTAGCCGGCATTGACAAAGTTCATATAGAGAAGGATAAAGATCTTTCTTGAGGAAAATTATATTACTTTCACCACTTTTTTTCCGATAGAAAAGTATCAAGCTCTGCCAAAACTTTTAGTTTATCATCAAAAGAAGGATGTCGATGTGGGTCTTTTCTTCGCCGACATTCACACCCACATCCTAACTGATCCGTAATATTACAACAACGAATTTATTTCATTTAGAAAGAACAGAACATGCATACAAAAGGAAAAAAGAAGTATATAATATATCCACATGGATCGGTTACCGATTATATACTATGTTATTGGTGAAAGAGAATAAAAAAACAGAGTACACCTGTTGTTATACTATGGTGTGGTGTCTATGTATTCATCTGAATATACATATCTATCGAACAAAAAGAAGAAATCAGCTGTCCATTTCATCCTGAAAAAACAAACTACAATTTTATCCAGTATCATTTTAATATAATGCATACATATCTAAGATACACCTGGGCCTGAATCGAACCCGCACAACTGTAGTCGTTGCCTAATCGGAGCTAATCGACATCCGACAGATACTTTTACAGTCACAATACAGTCTTCAAACTTTTGTTTTATGCGAAAAAGTATACTATTTATTTTCGTCCATAAACAACAACAAAAAAAAAACAAGTGAATCAAGTACTTTAGGATTCACCTGATGTCTTCCTATTTTTGAAATTCGATCAACTTCGATAAGTATACGTTTACTTGCAGTTGATAACACTGGAATGGAACGTAATGTTGGTGCCAAACGTCATAATTATGGTTGCATACATGAATGCTTTTTCCATCACAATAATACATGTTCACCTTTTTGATAATGCATTTTCTTCTTCATGTATATCGGTTACTTCGTGTATTAAAGTAGTGTATCTTTCATGCGAAAGGTGCCTACCCATTTTTGTCTAGTAGCAGCACAAAAAAAACAAATTTTTGAAAAGATTTTTGTTGTTTCAGAACAGTGCCATGCATCAGGAGAATACGAGATCAAAACAGACTCCCCGTGGACATTGTTGATAATAATCTAATAGTTCGATTAGTGACTTAATCAAAGGAAAATAATAGAGAGTTAAGTATTACTCACAAATGTTTGAGCTTCATGTATTAAAAAAAATTTTAAACAGTGATAAATGTTGATATGACACACGTTATAATCATGCTTTGAAACGATTGATCACTGTTTGAAATTTTCCTGCTTCCAATATGAAATTCAACAAAAAGTCATTGCTTTGAATGAAACAGTAGCAAATATAAGAAAGAACGAAAACAATTCTCTTGCTTATATCTTCAAAATAATTCCATATTTTCCATCAATATTATACTTGATTCTAACATAAAAATTTTATATATTTAAAAAGTAAAAACTTCACTTTTCACACTTTGTCTTTTGTTTTCTCTTAATCATAAAATTCATTCATAATTTTTCAATACTAACCATAGATTAGTGATCAAGAAAATAATATCAATTTGTTCATTATATTAAAATTCTTCTCATCTTTCATGACAATACAAATACGTGTGTAAATATCCATAGCAAAGTGATTGAATGTCATTTACACATTCACATTCGATCGATGCTTTCTCACGAACAGGAAGAATCGTCAATTGATATTCACACAATATATATTGCATAGACTACCTGATATCGTGGGAGAGAAAACGAGAGACAGAGAGAGAAAGAGAAAGGGGATATACATATAAATATATAGACGAAGGAAATAAATGAACACTTCATTCATTTCATTCGAGTGAAAACAAAAAAAAAAAAGAAACAACAATGATGTTTATTTTACAAAATATATTTCTGATAACTGTTCCATGTTCAACTTTATTAACAACTATTGCTATGTTATTGCCATATTGGTGGTCATCAGAAACACTTCAAGTTGGTCTTTGGAGAGCTCGATCAATATCTTCATCATGGTTACTTGTTGAACCACAAATAGGAACATCAGAAGGTAAAAAACTAAAAAAAAAAAAAAAAAAAAACGAAATTATTTTTGTTTTTTTACTTAAGGTCGTATTTTATTTATTTTACAAATTCTTTCATTTATATCAGTATTATTAGCCGATATAAGTGGTATTATTTGGTTAATTATTATTATTCGTCGTAAATCTCATATATTATTAAAATCATTTTTTTCATTACTTACGTCTACTATTCTAACATATTTATGTTTATCAATAATGATATATCTTGTTTGGCAAACAACAAAAGAATATATACATTTAATTAATATATCATATTCATTCTATATTGTTTTAATTATAATTATACTTCATTCATTAACATTTATTAGTATAACAATTAATTTATTGAAATATCGAACAAATCATTATTTAATAGAACCATTACAATTCGACAGGAAAATTCTTTTTGCTTTTAATGAACCTATTGTATAGAAAAAGAGAAAAAAAAACGAAGAGATTCTTTTTTGTTTTGTTTTTATTGATCCGGTGTTAATGTGAAAAAATAAAATATAATTATCGTCACACGATTTGTTTCTTGCTGAGAGGATTGAAACATAAAAGAATAAAGATTAAGTCATCTGATTGCATTTCTCACACGGAGATTTTTTTTTTTTTTGATGATTTGACTAGACATTAGATTGATCATAAGAGAAATACTACCAACAGAGAAGTTCAAAGCATATATATATATTGATCTAACAAAACAATAGGAAATTCGTTACGGATAGGTCATTATGAGTTGTTTAGTTATAAATTTTATCTAAAAAAAAATGATGTGTTTTTTGTTGAATTTTAAATAAGTGATGAAATTCAATACTGTTTCTTGACTGAACAAATGAAACAAGTTGTTTTTTTTAGAATATTGATGAATATATTCTATATTATTTGTATACATACTTAAGAATATGTAATTTGACACGTATACGAAAGATATACTTAAATATATTGAAATGTTGTCAAAATTTAATTGTATATTGTTATCTGACTGTTCATATTGATTATAATATTTGATTTGAGATTTATTGAAAATATGCGAAATGACGAATGTATTTTTTATAGATAGTATATGAAATATTGCAATTAGAATCAAAATTGTTGTTGTAGCTTATAAGAAAATTGCCACAATTTGAAAATTGTTTTTGAATTCGGATCCTTTGTAAAAGTTAGACTTTAAAACGATAAGAGCTTTTACGCCTCTTCTACAATGTTATAGCTATTTTATTGAAATTTTACCCATAGTTAAGCCTATTTGTAATTAGAATGTACTGAAAATTTCAGCTTAAAAGAATGTTTGTAGGAAATGCATAGAACCAAAGGAAAACGACGTACTCCCTAGAGTACATGGAGTACGAGAACACATTGTTATCTTCTTGGACTTAGGTCTAGATTTTTCTTAGTTATAAAACTGTACTCTTGTAATACATCGGGATTTGGAAGTTTTAGTACTACATTAGCATGTATCTTGTGTACAGACTCCAAACTCAACAGTGATTTTCAAGTTGAGAAGATTTCCTCATTAGACGAATGAAAGTTTACTTTGATCCTTATCTTTGCCTATGCAAAATGAATGATGAAAATACTATAAAAATAAATCATGGTTTTTATTGTAAATGTAAACATGTTCATGTATATAATGGATGTTCAAGAATAAATGGGCCTTTTAGTATCTCGTCTATAATTGTTTTATTTTTTTGCGTTGAACGAATGTCATTATTTTGAAAAGAAATGATTTGTTTGCCAAGTGTATATGATGGTTTGTTATGAAATTTAAGTTTTATGAAAATATGAATTTAGATAATTTCATGTCATTTCGTAAGAAATTTACGCATGCATGCCTACATCATTATGTTTTTTAAACAACCTTAATTAAACATGATGAGAAAGAGTATGCTTGAAAGCATTTGAAAACTGAGACGAGCGTGTCTAGACGTATATCTAGTTAAAGAGAAAAGAGAAGTAATTGACAAAAGAAAATTGCCGTTACAAAATACGTCACTTCAATGTTATGCAATCTTTAGTACAAAATATTTGACTATTAGTTTTTATACACAAACATGTCATTCACATCTGTAGAAAATCAAAAGAAGAATTCTTTCGATAAAAAATTCAAGTCAAACTAATGGACATGGACAGAAATATTAATACAATACTAAGAGACTCATTTATTCTGGGACGTTTCGTTATAACTAGTATTGAAGAATTTTTTTTTAATATAATACGAATAAATTCTAGAATGGGTTTTTCTAGATCAGGACCGGGATCCATAGAAAAACTTGATTTCGAACATCTCTAGTTATAACAGAGTGCGTGTCTTAACTTAAATAATGTCATGAAATATATATAATTAACTCATTTTCTTTTATTTGTTCAAAGTATTTTATTTTAGAAACTATATCATCAATGTAAAGATTGGATTTCTTTTTTGACGTCATAGAATAGTAAAATTTTCTTTTGATTTTTATTCTTAATTGATAGTAGATCAATAGGAAAAAGAAAAAACTTTATAGCAGAATCAATTAGAATAAACTTATACGATTAATTATCTTTATTCAATTGTTTTTTTTTCTCACAGTTTATAATAACATGATGAATTTAACAGTAACGGCGTCATATACATGTTATGCAATCAATTCTGTTGCATTTATTTTGCTTTTCTATGATTATCATGCAATAGTTTTTCTTCTTTCTTGTGTATTATATCATAATATGTCATATTATGAAAACATTGAATTACATTAGTTATGGAAAGTTTTGATTCTTTATTAAATAATTTATCGCGGGAAAGTTTCAGGGCAAGAAAAAAAACGAATCTTAGAAACTTGAATGAGTTGTAGAAAATAAAAACTTATTTTTCGTATTAGCTATATTTTGATCATGTCTTGATTCCAGTACGTAACTAATGTCGGCACCAGAATAAAAGAGAGTTGGATGTAATGTTAAGAGCTCGTATTATGAAAAAAAAAAACAATGTTAAAATCCATGATCTTCGCAAATCATTCAAAAACAACGTATGAAATAGTGTTTCATTTCAAAGAATTTTCGATAAAAAGTTATCAAATTTGTTAAAAATGAATAGAATTCTAAATAATTTGACCAATTAGACATACAGTTTTGTTTGTTTAACATTGAAATGTGAGAAGATAATCACTTAAATCGTGCCTTGAGGTATAGATGTGAAACTCCTCTATCTGAAGAACACATCACAATCAAAATCACGTTGGAATGGAATACTATTTACATTCATTTTTTTGAATGTTTTGCGATGATGATAGTTCTTAAACAATTTTCTTTTGTATAGTATCAAACAAAAAGACGTCCAACGTTCTCCTCTTTCGATTGCTGAAAATCATAGATAGCTAACTGTTGCTATTGTCGAGTTATTGAGCCTTGAGTCTACCCATCTTTAATTCTGGTGCTAATATTAACCATTCGTGCAAATTAGAAACATTGAAAATTGATTAAGAAACATAAGAATAATACCTTGATCAATGGACTAATTGATATATATAACACAATTCATAGTACGAATTGATCGTTTAATGAAACGCCTATAAAGTCGATATTTTACATATATCTGTCTACCAAGGATACGTGTTTCTAAAGTTAGGTGCTAATTACCCAAGGGCGAAACAGCTGACATTTTTTGATTTAAATTAGAGAAAAAATCAAAAAAAGCAGGAAAATCAGAAAAATCAAATGTAACTAATAAATTTGTAATCTATATTGTTCAAAACATCAATTTATAGTGGAAAAATTAAAACCGGATTTTCTTAATTTCTTTGATTTTTCTGATTGTTTTGATTTTTCTGATTTTCTTTATTTAAAATCAGTTGGTTTTAAATTAGGAAAATCAAGAGGAAAGTCAAAAAAATCAAGAAAAAGAAATAAAAAGACTAAAAAAATCAGATTTCAGCGATTTCCCCCTTGTAATTACCTGTGTTCTTTTTCTAGCCGATTTTAATGAAGAGAATGCGAGTGTAAAATAGATTGCTAGAATTACAGAAGCCTATCGTACTACTAACGAGAGAGTCATCCGAATTGCCACGCACCTTTTGAGCTCATATTGGGACTACAAGAAGGTATTAGTGAGACTAGTAAAAGTCTAAAAGAGTTTGTCTCCATGAGTCTTTGGTGCCGAATGACGGCCTTTTTACTGAATTTTCTCGATCGATTTTTGGGTATTTACCGAAAATTTTGGCTGTTGATAGGTGTGATGATCCTTAGAATATTCCTTTGTCAGGATGTTGAATTTTCAAGTAGATTTGACTTTTGTGACATGTCTGTAGCAAACGACTATTTTTATGAAATCCGATATCTCGACAAAGGAATATTCAAAAGGTCATTAGACCTATCTATAAGCAAAATTTTAAGTTGAAATTCTATTGTTTGATTTTTCGGTGAATATCCAAAAATTGATCGAAAATTCAGTAAAATTTGTATACGATTTATCCTTGCGCTGTAGTCAAACTTAGAATTGAACCAGATGATTAAATTCTAAGATAACTATAGTATTTATTAACGAAATATTTCTTCTAATTTTGTCACAAATCGACAATTGGCATTGTGATTGCCTGTTGCAGTGTTTGTGATAAATGTAGTTGTGAAAAAAAGTTGAAACGGTTTAGAAAATTACAATCTGATATACAAACAATTGCAGATGAAGAATTTATGACTACTTATCAAATGGCCTATGCCAAATGGATCATAGAAAAGATTGATGATAGGGCGTCAGACAAAAAATTTAAAGTATGTATTTACTGAGTGATATTTTTACTATCTTCAAAATCTCTACTACGAACTTGAAGCTGCTTATGTTTTTCGAAAGTACTACAATGTCTTTTCTTAGGTGACTGCAGAATTTCGTCTTCAACAGCAGAGACCAACATCAGCGACAGTACGTTCTGTACGTGAATCAATTGATTTGAGATCAATTCGGATGAATCCATCTGCTCAGACTTCAACTGCTTCTGCTCTTGTGCTAGATCTCGAACAAATCACGACATCATTAGACAATGAACAGCACTCTCAATATGTAACTGCTCCAGCAACTCCTCCGCCACCATCCTACTTTAAAGTCATTCAGATATTTTCACAAGGAACTTTTAACGATTGTTCGAATTGTAATAATAAAAAATATGTATTTAATACAACACATTGTACACAATGTGAATGTTCATTCTTAATCTAATGCATCTGAAAAATATGTTCGATGTTTTTTCTTGTAATAGTACAATTTTAAGAGATGAAAATGAGACTAATAAAAAATAGTATTTCTATTTAGAATGATTTCTATATGAAGTTGATTTTTTATTTATTCTAACATAAAATAAAGAATTTTGTATTCTTTCATTTTTATCTGCGTAATCAATGAGTATATAATATATAATATTTAATCTACTTCTCCATAACATGCTCCATCACATTTTGTTCAA